ATGTTCATGAAGCCACATAGTACCTACGCGCCATTCACACCGATTATTTTATTTGGATCTTTGCATAACCAAAGCCAAGCCAAAAAAGGGGGGGATATTTTCGTTTATAGAAAAGAAAATAAATGATTATTGCATCACAAATTATTGTACATTTTCTTCTGTGTGGCACAAGTACAGTTCTGGCTAACAATCCTGTATAATGAAATGATAAAGAGACAAAAGATCAAACTGACATACAATCCTTTGTTTATCTTTCTCAGCAGCTTCTTTACATGTAACGTGTGACCTTAGCAGTGGACTAGCCAATCTTCACACATATATGTATGTGAATTTATAATATATGTGCTCAGGTATATATGTGTGTATTCTTTTTAAAAACCATTTATTTTATTTTATTTTATATGAATGGGTGTTTTGCCTGCATGTATGTCTGTGTACCACTTGTGTGCCTGGGGCCTGCAGAGACCAGACAAGGGCACTGGATGCCCTGGAGCTGGGGTTACAGATGGTTGTGAGATACCTTGTGGATGTTGGGAATCAAACCCAGGTTCTGTGGAAAGCAGTCATCTCGCTAGCCCTGTATATATGTACCTATCATGTCAAAACAAAACAATTCTATACCATTTTCTCTGTGCAGTTGAGATGGATTATTTATTTTCTTGCTTTGAGCCTAGTAGCTCATTCATTTTGAAATATGGCTTTTGATGCTTTATTAGACACACACACACACATACACACACGGTGATATATTATTTATGATTTATTAAAGCCACTAGAAATACAAATAGCAGAGCAGCCATACTAGTTAGCCATAGAAGCCAGGCAGTGGTGGCACACACCTTTAATCCCTGGACTCAGGACAGAGGCAGATGGATCTCTGTGAGTTGAAGGTCACCCAGGACTACATGAGAGTGAATCAGCCTTAAAGGAAACAGAGCTAACACTTTTAATCCCAGGACTCATGAGAGGTTTATAAGACAGGGGCAGGGTGTCAGAGCTGGCGTTCTTTCTCCAGCCACATTGATGACAGGAAGGTATTGATTCTCCAGCCATAATGAGGATAGGGAAACATTGATTCTCCAGCCACACTGAGGAGAGGCAGCAATCTGAGTCTTGTGAGAGCTCATGGAGACAGGATCAGCTATTTCAGCCTAAGGTAGAGGTGAGAGCTAGTGGCTTGGCTACTTTGCTTTTCTGATTTTCAGTTTGAACTCCAATATCAGTCTCTGGGTTTTTTTTTTTTTTTTTTTTTACATGCACCACACATACGCGCACGTGCATGCACAAGCACACACACACACACACACACACACACACACACACACACACTCACACATTACTCTTCCTTGAGCATAGAGAACAGAAAACCAACAATGTTCAATGAAATTTTGATAAATCCATTTGTGGCCTTATGTCAACTGGTGATATACATGATTTTTATGGAGCACTATCCTATTTAAGAATATAAGTATACAGCAGAAGGAATTAAAAATAAATTCCCTTTCTATCACTTTTTATTTGCAGTGACATTAATGAGAACACACACCTTTCCTTTCCACTGTCAGCCCCTCACTGTCCCCTCAGAGCAGAAGCTACCTGCTGGGCTTGATACTACTCAGAATGGACTGGGCCCTCTTACCACAACTGCAAATCAAGACAATTCCTCATAGACATTGCCATCGAGAAATCTGATTGGGGGAAATTCCAGATCTAGTTCCCTCTTCCTAAGTAGCTCTAGGTGGTGTGATGTTGACAATAAATGATAAACAAGACATGGAGAGAATTGCAGAGAGGCTCTACATGAAGACTTGGGAATCCAGTGGAGGGTGCATGAAGAGTTCAGAATGGAGTAGAGAGTCTACATGAAGACTTGGGAATTGAGTAGAGGGTCTACACTGAATACTTGTGAGGGAGGGAGAAGGGTACTCCTCACATGTTCAGAGAGCAATCATATGAGACTTAGGGATCGTGTGGCAGGAATGACAATTTAGAGAAAAATGTGGTTTGTGTCCTGTGATAAAAAAGTAGAGAAAGGATTAGGTACCAAATAGACAACTAGAACATAGGAGCTCCTTACGGATGTCTTAAATTTTTTGAATTTCTATAAATTATCTTAGCCCTATTACTTTAGAACTTTTCATTTGTAGAATAAAGCACTTTCCTTGAACCAGGAATAATAAATCTTAAAACAGAATAGTTTATTTTTTTCTCAGTGCCACAGGTAAAATATTTATTTAAAAAAAAAAATCTGGAAGGCTTCCCTGGGGCATTGGGGGATGGCTCTGTCAGTAAAAGACTAGCTGTGTAAGCATGGGGACCTGAGTTCTGATCCTTAGAACCTATGTGGAAACAGCTGGTGCAGTTACATGTGCCTGGGGAGATAGGGATAGAAGGTCCTGGGGCTCACTGATAGCCCAGGCTCACAAACTAGGCAAGAGGTAAGAGACCATGATACAAAAGGTAAGGTGGAGAGCAACTGAGGGACAAGCTAGTCAGTGACCTCTGGTTGCCACATATGTCATACACACACATTCATGGACATGGCACCAACACATGTGTACACATATGAACCCCATAACTCCCTTATAATGAAATTTGGTTTAATTCTACTTGGTTGGCATAAAGTGAAGCTTCAGTAGATGTCTACAGAGTAAATAACTTATAGAAAAATGAGTGGAGCTCTGAATACTGTTAGACATGCGTGCATACACACACACACACACTTCTAAAATATATTAATCAACTAACTTTAAATAGAGGAAAAGAAAAAAAACTCTCCCAAATTATTTAGTGTTTATAAAATAAAGAACCTGTGTTTATGCAGTAACTTTCTTATTCTGCAGTGGATTTCTCTGCAGTTGCTAGTTTCTTAACAACTATAACACTTTAACTCCCTAACACTTCTTCCTATAAACAACATGAATAGTATTCTCCCCAATGCTAAGATGTGTTTGTTTTGTTCTTTAGAGATAGGCCTTTGTAATCATTCTTGATGGCCTAAAGCTTACTATGAGCTGGCCTCATATTTGTGGTGATCCTCCTGTTCCTGCCTCCAAAGTGGCACCATGACCACGTACCCACTCTCTTGCTATGGCCTTTTTCAACTCATTTGGACTGTGGTAATTGCTTGTCTGGTGAAGAACCATTCCCTGGCATATGGCCTTTGTATTTGGGTTTGCTTTAAATATGGTTCTTGGTCTTTTTCTATGGGTTTGTCTTCAAGACTCTGCAATGAGGCTTCTTGTGTAGTATTCAGAGCTCTCCTCAACTGTTTTAAAACTTGATTCAAGTCTGTATTGGACATAGTATGCATGGAAAGGTTGAGTCACTGCAGAGGAAACTGTTCTGCACCAGTTCATTTAACTCATGGCAAATGCTTTCAGTCCCAATGCAGAGCTGTCTGTCCCCAATGCCCATTAGGAGTAAGTTCAAATCATTATTTGCTTATATGAAGCAGAAAAACTCCAGGAATGTTTCTTAAGCCTAATAATTCCATTGCCTTCATTGTAGGTCATACATGATCTGCTTGACTGGAGAGGAGAGAGATTCTTTATTCTGTCCTTGCCAGATCTCAATCACTGAAAGGCATAGACCTTTTTGATAGCATTACAGATCTTAAGTTTCTTTCTTTTTTGATTTATCTATTAATTAATTAATTTATCTATCTGTTTTTGGTGTTCCAATAGATGTGTATCTGCTTGTGTGTGTGTGTATGAGTATGGAGTATACATGCCCACATGTGAACCTGTAGAAACCTAAGGTTGACATCAGGGTGTGTCTCATTCAGTTGCTCTCTACTGTTCCTACATATGCATGCACTGTATGTATGTATGTATGTATGTATGTATGTATGTACGTATTACATGTATCCATCCCTAAGTATCTATGTTTGTATTTGAGGCATGCTCTTTTTATTGCACTTGAAGCTTGATGTTTTGGATAGATTGGTTGGCTATGGAGCTCTGGATGTCTGCCTATCTCCATCTGCATGTACTGATTATGTGCACTGGTTACATATATATAAAACCACCTCTGGCTCTTTTATATGGGTTCCAGGGACCCCAGTTAAAGTCATCTTGCTTGGACACCAAATGCTTTAATCACTCAGCTATCTCTTCTGTCCCAAAGCCCAAACTTTCCTAGGAAGCAAAGCCTCCATTTTTCTTATGCGTTTATCTTCATTGTCAGAGACAACCATGGCCAGTGAGGCCAGAGCTGGCAGGCAGAGAAGGTGGTGTACCATTTGGGCTAACAGGTGCCAGCAGCACTAGATTTGGGTCAAGGCAAACATATGGCATCTTCTATACACATTTCCAGAAGTAAATTGCCGGAGTAGTGAGTCCTGCTACCTTGAAGTTAAAACATGAACCACAACACTATGAGGAGACTAAGATCAGGCACTAGATCTATTGATTCAACATCAGCACAATGCTGTTGATTGTTTTGTTCAAGCTGATATGTATACACTCATAGTATGTGATTGAGCAAGAGCCTTTAACACAGCAGGGATAATGACACTTTTGTGGAATGACTACCCTATTTTGAAAAAAAAATGTGCTAGTAGGTGAATCTATCCCATGGCAGGACAAAGAGAAAGCCACAGCCCCCTGGGTCTACAGCTCCCACACAAAAAGCTCAAGTAACACGATTAAAAATAAAACAACCAAAACAGAAAGACTGGTTTCTGTGAAAGCATTTCTTCATGCTAGATTCTTTGGAGATGTATTATATGTTCATGTGGCCCCAACCTACAATGAATCATTTGACAGCAAAAGCAGAAGATGGATCTCATAGTTCTCCTGGATGTCCACCATCAGAACTGCTCCAAATGGAAGTGTTCCCCCACCCCCCAGCTCACTGTCCCATCCCATTTGTGACACGTTATCATGGACTAAAGCTGGTAACAGTAGACTTTGGTGAAAGTCCCTTTGGAGACCTGAGAAACAACCATTGAATAGAGATTTCTGAGTCAGATTCCATAAGGCAACGAAATGGCTCACCTTGATATACAGTGGCTCTCTAAGATGGTCAACAAGAATGCTAGCCTTTTCCTCCCATACAGGATTCAGGTTCTTGTGTATAATTTTACTTCTAAAAACTTCTTTTCTTCCAATTTTAAACTTCACATATGGATCACTTGTTCCTGTTGAAGAGACACACATGGTCCGCATTAGCCATTCTTTTCTAAAGAAATTTGACAGCTGCTCATTGGAACATCAGAAAGAGTTAAATGGGAAAAGTTAATTGAAACCTATCTCACAGGAAAAGGTTTTCTTCTCTAAAGATCGAAGTAAGATCAAATCCTCATCTCCATTGTTAGAGTTGTAGCTTCTGAGTAGAATCCTGTAAACTTATCCTAGCTTCTCAGAAAGACAATTGCTTTCATAGTGGCAGAGGCAATTCACATTCTACCAGCAGTGCAGTGGTGCAGCGCTGCACTAGGGCTCTCTTTTCCAGTCTTCACCAGTATGTGTTGCCATTTGTTTTCTCAATGATAGCCATGCTGACTGCAGTAAGACAGGAGATCTCATTGTAGTTTTGAAATTCCATTTTGCCAACTGCAATGGCTAAGAATGCTGAACACTTTTATCATATATTTACTGGTCAGTTGCAGTTGAGCTGTTGAAAATTTTCTTTTTCTTTCTTTCTTTCTTTCTCTCTTCCTTTTCTTATTTACATATCAATCCCGGTTCCCTCTCCCTCCTATCCTCCCATGCCATCTCCCACCCCCCTCCCATCCCATCCCCCATCCACTCCCCAGGGAGGATGAGACCATCCAGGAAGGATCATCAAAATCTGTCAATCATTTGGGATAGGGCCTAGGCCCTCCCTCGTGTCTCTAGACTAAGGGAGTATCCCTCCAAGGGGAATGGGGTCCTGAAGACCATTTGTGCACTAGGGATACATCCTGGTTCCACTGTCAGAAGTCCAATAAATTACCCAGGTCTTCTAACTGAGACACACGTTCATGGGGTCTGGGTCAGTCCTATGCTGGTTTCCCATCTATCAGTCTGGGGTCCATGAGCTCCCCCTTGTTCAGGTCAGCTATCTCTATGGGTTTCTGCAGCCTGGCTTTGACTCCTTTGTTCATCACTTCTCCCTCTCTGCAACTGGATTCCAGGAGTTCAGCTCAGTGTTTAGCTGTGGGTATCTGCTTCTGTTTCCATAAGCTATTAGATGAAGGTTCTAGGATAGCATATAAGGTAGTTATTAATCTCATTATCAGGGAAGGTCATTTAAGGTAGCCTCTCCACTACTGCTCAGATTGTTAGCTGGGGTCATCCTTGTAGGTCTCTGGACATTTCATTAACCCACCTTACTGGTTGGGTTGATTTTACTTTTTGATATCGGGTTTTGAGTTCTTTCTATATATTCTGGACATCAATCCTTTTAGATATTAAACTAGCAATCATTTTTACTCCCATTCTATAGGCAATCTTTTCATTCACTTAATTGTTCCTTTGACATTTTAACATTTTAACATCATGCCATCAGAGTTGTCAACTCTCCATGTATTTCTGAGCAAGGAGGCTCCACAAAAAGAAGCAAAAATTAAATGAAATAGAGGGTGGGGATATAGCCCTTACTACAGAACTATATAGAACACTTAATGAGCTTGTTTAAAACCCTAAGCTCAGTCTGAAGTATGAATAATAACCAATAAACAAAATCCTAAAAACAGAACTATCATAGGAGCCAGCCATTTGATTCCTGAGTACATATTCAAACGACTCTAACTGAACATACCAGAGAGACACTTGCACATCCGTGGTTACTACAGCAATATTCACAGTATCCAAAGCATGGAATCAGTGGCCATAAACAGAAGGATATGTAAAGATACTGAGGTATATATCTGTAAAGAAGTATTATTTAACCTTGAAAAGAATAAAGTTAATGCTGTTTGCAGGAAATAAGAGCAAATGGAGATTATCACACTAAATGAAGTAAGACAGATTTAGAAAAATGAAAACCCTGTTTTCTCTCATGTGTGGATCCCAGTTTGCATATAGATGCATCAAATTTTTCTTTGTAAATGGCATTAAGGCAGAAATGAGACTTCTACAGAAAGAATGTGTACTAGTGGGAGGAGTGAGGGTGGAGAAAGAAGAGGTATGAAGGATGACTGTGGTGAGATATTTACTTTGTCCGCACCTGTGGCACAGATCATGCCCATTGGGGGTGGAGACAGGGGCAGACATTATCTAGGGGAACTAAGTCTGAGGAGGGGGCTCTGAGAGCTCTCTTGGTTATAGCACGGGGACAGGAGTACATCCAAAGGCATCCTTGGGACCAGGAACCTGCTGGTGTTCATATGTCTATGTTATAAGTTACTTCTCCCTGAATAAACATCTATTCGGTCTATCTGTTTCTCCTGATCCTTATTAAACATCAATAGATGACTACACTTATAATATATTAAAGAGAAATGGTTGGACTTGCAGAGGATCCAGGTTCAGTTCCCAGCGTCCATGTGGTGGCTCACAATCATCTGTAATTCTAGTTCCACAAGATCCAATATCCTCTTCTAGCTTCCCTAGCAATCTTGTCTATGTGCAATGCACATACATATGTGCAAGCATAATTCTCATACACACAAGATAAAATGAAATTAAAAAATTTAAACCCACTAGAAATCAGACACACATAAATAATTAAATGAGAAACATCTTTTCACCAAGCAGAAAATGGTCAGAAAAATCAGATATTTTAGACCTGTGTATCACAACTTCTGATGTGCTTTCCTGCCACTCCAATGCTCAGGTAAACATGAGCTCTCCCACACAACAGACTGCACACATCAGTGCCATGTGTAATGGTCACTTTCAGTTGCTCAGTAACAAGCCACCTGGATCATGGTATGATACATTCTGTGAACAATATGTACATGTGTATACCTGTATGTGAGTATGTATGATATATTAGATATATATGATGCTTACGTAAGTATGTGCATGTGTTCCTGTGAATGAATGTGGGTGTGCATGTGCTAAGGGACAAGTGTGTAGGTCAAAGAACAACTTCTGGGTAATGGTCTGTGTCTGCTACACCAATTGAGACAGGGTCCCTTTATTGTTTGGTGATGTGTATGACAAGATACCTGGCCTACAAGCTTCCTAGGGTGTTCCTGTTCCATCTTCCCTTCCACCTCAGGGCCAATGGGATTATAGGTGTGGTACTGTGGGTTCCAGGAACTATAACGCAGGTATTCACATAGCAAGTGGTTTAACCATTAAACATCTACCTAGACTTGCAGGTCTCCAGAGGAGGGTCTTTAGGAGGTAATCAGATAAGGATTAGATAAGGCCATCCAGACAGAGAGGTATCAACTCTCAGAGGCAAGAGCTATGGAATGCTATGCTTCTGTATACATTATCACACATTATCAATGGAGAATGCTACAGTGTCTCCTGTACTGTTGATATGCAGCAGCCAATGTGGCCTTAACATTCTTCTCAACTTAACTAAAGCTTACACATATTTGCTTTTATTGTAGATCTCTCACTTCCTTAGTCTTCAAGCATTAGTTTAGTATAATCACAATTCTTCATCTGTCCCCTAACCATGCAGGTATTTTATTTTATATTTTTACTTTTATTACATGTGGTGGGGGTGTGGAAGGAGGTGTGTATTTCAAGCTCAGGAGGTAATTCTGTGGATTTGGTTTCTTCCTTCCAAGTTTGTTCTGGGTCCAGTTACCAGGTTTGCCTGACAAGCACAGTTAAAAGATGAGCCTCCTAGTAGGCTTGAGACACACATTTTCTTCCAGTCTCTGGTGGGCACAGCAGTCCATAAAAGCCTGTCTAGGGGAACTTGATATTATGCCTCTGAAATGTGATTAAGAAGCCAGATGATTATTTTTTCTGAAGGTTACTTGTCCCTCTAAGTCCCTCAATAACCTTTTTCAGGCCCAAATAAACACACAGATTCTGTATTAATTATAAAACTCTTGTCCAAAGGCTTGGGCTTCTTATTGGCTAGCTCTGTCTTAATTATTCACTCATTTCTATTAATCTAAGTATTTCTATATGGTCTTATCTTACCGGAGAAAGGTCCAGACCTGCTACTCCTTTGTAGTCCATATGGCAACTCTTTTTGGTGGGCTTCTCTGCCTACATTTGCCAGAATTCTCCTCATCTCCTAGTTCTGCCTATCCCCTGCTTCTATTGGCCTCAGTGTTTTACTCATCAAACAATAAGAGAAACATATATACAGAAGGACATTCTCCATCAGATGGTGGCACACACCTTTAATCCCAGCACTTGGGAAGCAGAGATAGTTGAATCTTTAAGTTTGAGGCCCACCTAGTATACAGAGCAAGATTGCCAGTAGCCTGGGATACACAGAAACCCTGCCTCAAAAGAAAACCAAAATGTGATTTAAAAAAAAAAAAGCCATGTGAAAGTGTTCAGCATTATAACTATCCGATAATAAAAATTACCTTGACATAAAAAGAATGGCTGTTATCACAAAATGGCAGATGGTAACAACTACTGGTGGAGATGTGGTCAAGGGAACCTTTGTCTAATATTGGTAGGGATTTAAATTGCCATTATGGAAAATACTGTAGAAATACCTCAAAAATTAAATATGGGCTCAGGTGATAGGTCAATCAGTGAAGTGATTACTTTGCAATCATTTCTCAGAGTTCAAACCCTGAGAAACTCCCATTTACCATTTAGCCTTATTGGTTCCAAACTAGTGAGAGACTCTGCCTCAAAAAAAAAAAAAATCAAAACCAAAACAAAACAAAAACAAACAAACAAACAAAAAAAAACAAAAAACAAAGATGGGGACAGCTCTTGAAGAACAATTGAACCTGAAACACACACACACACACACACACACACACACACACACACACACACACACACACACTACAGAGCTATCAAATGATCCAGCAATCCATATGTGTGTGTGTGAAAGAAATGAAAGAAATCTGTAAGTTGAAGAAACATCTACATTTCCATGTTCACTGCAACTTCCCTCACAATAATAAAGATGGAAAAATAGCCATTCTTCAACTGATGATTAAATAAAGAAAATCTGATAGATATACACAGCATATTACTATTCAATAGTTAAATCCTATCATTTGTGACAGCACAATGGAACTCAAGACCATTATGATAAGTAAGCCAG